GAAAATAAATTCACAAAGGATGTCAGAATCTCAGCAGAGTGTTTTATAACGGTATTATAAGAAAAGAGATGGCGGTCAGGAGTGAAGTGAGCCCTTGACAACAGGTGGAAGTAAAATTATCAATAAGGAGATAACAAAGTGTAGAGCTGGATGAACACAGCAGGCCAAGCAGCATCAGAGGAGGAGGAAAGCTGACGTTTCGGGCCTAGAAGACCTTGGCAGAAGACATGTGTCATGCCACACATCCCAAGGAAACAAATATTGTAAGAAGATACAGGATTCACCAATATTAACAATTTTATGAAGTTGCTTCATATTCATTCTTGCTTAGAGGCCTTCAGATTTGAAGTTGGAGGAAAATTGATTTATTTCAAAGCTTGTTGAAATACCTGGAATGCCTTCTTTGAAAGAAGTTACTGAAACATCACTATAGACATTGGCATTTTTGTTTTAGAAACAAGGCTTCATATTAATCATGATTGGCCATAACTGCAGGTTCTGCCGCTGACCTCACTGGTGCTGTCTGAGTAATGATGAGATGGAGTGTGCTTTGGTATCTGGAATTAGTTGGGAACAACAAGCCTGAGTGGAAGGGCTGCCAGGTTCATATCATCTGCTTCTGAAAAGAAAATCCTTTTGTCATTTTGGGGGAAACATATTTGCCCTTTTAAAAGCGTGACTGAAGAAAGGAGCGTGACCACAGTGAGAAGAGACTTCAGCTGAGTGAGTACATCTGGGAATTTGGTTCGAAGTGGGAATTCAGTGTAGAGGAGCTTTAAGTTACTGCAAGGAATAAATTCTCCAAGGTGAGAAGTGAGCAGGAGGAGATAAAAGACACACTTTAAGAGACTATCTGCAGGGGGACCAGTGTGGTGTGGTATCATGAACCACAATGTGATAAGAATGTAGGGAGGGCAGCAAATTGGGGCATATTTATATCCTTCAAAATAAAAGTATGGTCTTTGATTTGTGGTAAGAATGCCAGTATTTTTCTCCTCTTTTTTCCTTATGAATAGCTTATGTCTAAGATTCTGGAAAAAAATTACAATAAAGTGCAAAGAACAGGGATTCTAATATAATGATTTTTTTTAAATGATAGCAATGGCAAAGTAAGTGATGCATTGCTGCTGTGGCACATGGGAGCTGTTGGACGCTGACACAATAGAGTGAACCTGTTTTGCAGCTTGAGGAACCCCAGGTCTGAGTCAAGAAGCTGGAAGCTGCAATGTTGAAGACATTGTGCCAAAGAGAAGGGGAAAATTACCTGGGCACTTTATTCTAGTAGGCCATCACATCCCTCAGATGAGGATTCAAATTTGGTCTGTGATCAGCTACATGGTGTGACTGCAAATGAACCATGTATTGGGACACTAGAGATTGTTCCAAAGTGGTTTGGAAATGACGTATCTCAGATGTAATGTTACTCATCTTTTACTCATTCGTGCAATGTGGACATCATTGGCTAGGACAGTAGTTATTGCCCATTTATAGCTACATTTGACAAAGTGGTGATAAGTTGTCTTCCGAACCACTGCAGTCCATTTGATGGAAGTAGATGCTCAATGCCATTAAGGGTTTCCAGGATTTTGACCCAGCAATGCTGAAGGGATAGCAATCTATTTCAAAATCAGAATGATTAGTGGCATGGAGGAGATGCTTGGCTTCCCAAGCATCTGCTACTATTGTTCTTTTAGATGGTAGTGGCCAAATATTTAGAAAGTGCTGTCTAAGGAGTCTTGGTGAATTTTTACAGTGCGTCGTGTAGTTAGTACACACAGCTTTACTGAGTATCAGTGGCAGAGGGAGTGAATGCTTATAGATTTGGTGCAATCAAGCAGCTGTTTGTCCCAGATGTTGTCAGCCTTGAGTGTTGTTGAAGCTGCACTCATCCAGATAAGGGAACAGAGGTGGGAAGTTTCATCAAACTCCTGACTTGCGCATTGTAAATGGGATATTCTTTGGGGGAGATGAGTTAGGGCAAGCATGATTCTTAGCTTCTGACTTCTTCTGTAGCCACAGTTTTTGTGTGGTTAGTCCAGTTCAGTTTTTAGTCAATGGTAACTCCCAGGATAATTAATCATGGGGTCTATAAGATGTCAATGCCATTGTACGTCAAAGGATCATGTTAAATTCTCTCTTGTTAGATATGGTTATTGGCTGGCACTTGTATGGTGTGAAAGTTATTTGCCAATTGTCAGCCCAAACCTGGATATTTGCTGCATTTGGATAAAGATTACTTCAGTACGAGTCATTGTGAATGGTGCTGAAGATCATGCACTCATCAGTGAGCAACCCCCTTCTGATCTGATGATGGACGGAAGGTCATTGATAAATGCTGAGATATCTTGGAGTTGAAATGACTGACCTCCAATAATCATTACTATCTTCTTATATGCCAGGTATGACTCCAACGGGAGTGTTATCTCACTGATTCTCATTGACTCTAGTTTGATAGGACTACGAATCATACTCGGTCAAATGCAGTGGTGAGGTCAAGGGCTGTCACTCATCGCCCCTTTGGAATTCAGTTCTCTTGTCCATGTTTGAACCAAGTTTGGCCCTACCAGAACCCAAACTTGAACACTAGTGTGCAGCTTGTTGTTTGATAGCCCTTGTTGGTAACATCTTCAATACTTTACTACTGATCGAATGTACATTTATGGGTGTAAAGTGGCCGGTTTGCGTCCATCCTGCCTGTGTGTACGCAGGACATAACCTGGTCAATTTTACATATCGCTGTGTACAGACTAGTGCTTTCAGTGTACTGGAACAACTTGGCTCAGGGGCACAGCAAGTTCTGGAACACAAGTCCTCAATACTATGGCCGGTATGTAGTCAGGACCCATAACCTTTACAGTATCTTGTGTCTCCAGCCGTTTCTTGATATCATGTGGAGTGAATCAAATCGACTAAGGGCTGGCATCAGTGATGCTGGGACCCTCTGGAAAAGGCCAATGTGGATCACCCACTCAGGACTTTTGGCATAAAAATGTTTTAAATCCTTCAGCTTTCTCTTACACTGATATGCTGGGCACCCATTCATTGAGGATCACTTGTGGGGTTGGCTTCACCAGTGAGTTGATTGTCTACTACCATTCACAGCTGGAGGTGTTCAGGACTTAGATCTCATTTGCTGATTGTGGAAATTCCACAATCACTTGCTGCTTGTACTGTTTGTCATGCAAGTAGTCCTGCTTTCTACTTTCACATGGTTGACACCCATTTTTAGGTACACCTCATTCTGTTCTGGGCAGGCTCTCCTGCACTTTCCATTGAACAAAAGTTGATCACCTGGCTTGATGGTAATTGTAGAGCAATAGATACACCAGACCACGGGGATGCAGAATGCTTTTGCGTATCATTCTGCTGCCAATAGCCTACAATGATTCATGGATGCCCAGGCTCAAGTTACTAGATTGGTTTGAAGTCTATCCCATTTTGTACAGTGAAACTGCCAAACAATATGATGGATGGTCGCCTCAATGTGAGGATGGGACTTCATCTCCTCAAGGACTGCGCAGTGGTCACCTTTACATACACTGTCATAGAAAGGTGCATTTGCAGCAAAAGAGATTGGCGAGGATGAGGTCAAGTACATTTCTACCTCCTTTCCTCGTTAATTGCCATAGACTCAGTCTAGCAGCTCAATCAGTTCAGTCAGCAATGGTGTTACTGAGCTAGTCTTAGTGATCAATATTGAAATTCCTGCAGCGAGAGTGCATTCTGCATCGTTACCACTGTCAGTGCTTCATCGAGGTGGTGTTAGACATGGAGGAATACTGATTGTTCAACTGGCCATGGTAGTCAGCAGGAAGTTGCCCATGTAGGACCTAATACCATTAGACTTCATGGGGTGCAGAGTCGACATCACTCTCCCAGGCCAACTTCCTCCCAACTATATACCATTGTGTTACCACCTCTGCTGGGTTGGTCCTGTTGGTAGAACAGGACATATTCAGAAATGGTGCTGGTGTTATCTGGAGTAGTGTGCGTAAGGTACAGTTCTGCGAGTATGACTATGTCAGGCTGTTGTTTCATTAGTCTGTGATTCAGCTCTGGCAATTTTTTCAAGATACTGGCAAGGAGGACTTTGGTTATTGTCAAGGCCACCATTGGGGTTTCCACTGCCTACATCAAAGCCAATACTTGTTTCATCACTTTGAGACAGTTTAGTCATAGATTATAACCAAATGGCATCCTAGGCCATTTCAGAGGGTTGTGGTAGAATTCAAATCTAAGTTCCCAGGACATTTCCAGAGTTTCTGTATTACTAGTCCAGTGACAATACCACTATCCCATCTCCTCTCCTGTACTAAACAGCCAAGTAATATGTAATGGGCCTATTTATTGTTCATCAAGATTGAACCCATCTACCACCAGAGACTTTTTGTGGATGTCCTCCCCCATGTGATATCAGTCACCTAAACTGATACTAGCAACTAGAATTAGTGGCAGTGAAGATACCCAATGCTTCCCAGAACGTTCAAGCAAAAACCAAAAGTATGAAGGCCACATTTTCCTCCAATGTCCATCTAATTGCACTGTGTAAACTGTTGGAAAATCCTTTCTCATGATATCACACACTAACTCCCAAATAGAAGGGAAGAGGAAAAGAGGTGCAAAATAGAAAAAAAGTACCAGCAACCTGAAGACATCAGATGAATTTTTTTAAAAAAGTGACCGATGAAATCGCAGATCTGAAACATTAATGCAGTTTCTCAAAAGATGCCGCCCAGCTAGCAGTATTTCCAGCATTTCCTGTTTTTATTATAGAAAGTGACCGTAACTTGTGCTATGTGCAATGTCTCTGGAGATCAGCCAGTTCTTTTGGATTTCCCACAAGTACCAAGAAGCTTTTAAACAAAGCATTAACAACTGACGAAAAGGGAAACAAAGCACTTCTACAAGTTAACTTAAAAGGGAAGCCATACACTATTTCTATAAGCGGTGTTACTTTCAACAATGATTTGTTTTCAAAGTTTAGATACTCTAATGCCTACCTTCAGAATTCAATGTAATGAGTGTAACATTTGGGGCCAAGTTCTGACCACCTGATTGACCACTATTTGAAACGGTGTCACTTGTTTCAGATCCACTCTCAACATCTTCAGTATGGCTATCTTCATGGCCAGGAACCTTCACAATTATTGTGTTTTGTCTCCTCCCTGGCATTGAACTTAATTGTCCCAAAACAGGAAAAAAATACAAAAGTAACAAAGCAACCTGTTAGCCTGTATGTTACTGACAGATCAATAACAATCAAAACTGTAGTTAGGGATTTATCATTAATCATATGGTTTGCAAATTGTTAACATTAATTCTAAAATAATTCTCTCTCAGTAGGTAAATTCTATGAAACCATATAAACATAGTTCATAACTGTATATTCAAAAAATCTGCAAAAGATTTGGCAGATGTCATACATTTTCACTTAATTGAGAAATAATCATTTTAATTCTCCTTACATCTGGGAGCACAGAAACCATTTTTTTATAAAGGGAAAATTAATTAAATGCATTTTAAAAGAACTCCAACTTGCTTGCTACATACAAAGGAACTGCAAAAAAATATCGTACCACTGCACTTTTGAATTTAACAGTGCCAGAAGTACTGGGTTACAAGATTCATCATACAAGTCAAATACTTTCATAAATCTTGGTCTTTTGCTTTACATTCTACTTAGCAAGTACACATTTTTACTTTCCAGATTTTTATTTTTGAGAGAAAGTTTGGAGAACATTTATGATAATGGAATATGGTCAGCATGTTACACGTCTTTTGGGTTTTCATTTTAAAATTTTTGCTCATTTTAAAAAACACTATAAAGAAGAAATTGCCATTTGATGATAACGACAGATTAAGTTTCAAATTTCATAATGCATTAGGAACGAAAATACAGGCAAATGCTAAGTATTAATTCACTTAGATTCACTCAGAGTATGGAGACGAAAGTTATTTTTAAAAATGAATTACAATTGCATTGGAAGCTAGTGACCAAATATCAATAAGCATGTTTAAATAGAAATTGTTTCCAGTTCTTGGAAACTGTGCTTTTAAAGAATGTTCTGTTTGTCTAAATTTTAAAATTTTAGTAAAAGGACTGTCTCAAACTTGTTTTGAGACCTTCAAACATAGCCTCCAGCATACCCTCCAAGATTTAACTCCATGTTTAACCAGCTACTAGAAAATGAAATGTGCAGTACCAGCATACCATAGCATCATTCGCCATTATCCTTGATAGGAAGCATATTTACATAAAACCATTTCCCTGCTTGATACTCAGCACACAAAATGTCTGAATAATAAAGAAAATTACTACGGTGTAAAATTTCCGGGTTTTTTTGTCTAATTATGACTTGGTAAACTGCAATTGGACGTTTTATATAGATGCTAAACATGCTGAGACCTATTGCGCAGAACTGCAACAATCATGTAGGATTTATTTTTCACTGGTAAATACAGAAGATTGTCTAACCAAAATCACAGAATTATTTTAAAAATATTTAAATTTTAGCAATTATCTTAAGTGAACAAATAATAACCTACTATTTTTAATTAATAATTCCCTTGAACAAAATGTCAGTGAGAAGAATATTTACTCAATTTTTAAACACAGTGACTCAATGTATATTTTTGGGGACAGCCACATTATGACATGATTCAAAACAAATCCACAATAAATTCAACTATGAGAATAGCAAAGAATCCAGCATTGGTGATTTCATGCTGTGATAATTTCCTTAAAATACCTTTAAAGAAACAGAGGGAGGCAGAGAATCAAGTACTTCTCTGAGACAGGCCAAAGAACCTTTCCAGTAGGAAGTCAATATTGCCAAAGAAACCTTCAGCAATGAGCAGAGGACCATGATATTGTTTCAATGCTACTCAGACTGTTAACACAATTTAATGTATACAAAAAATGCATGCGGAGTCAGATCATCCCAAAACTTGAGCAATGTGAATGAGGAGCAGGAGAAGGCATAGGCCACGCGGCCTTTCAAGCCTGTTCCACCATTCAATAAGATCATAGCTGATCTGACTGTGGCCTCAATAAAATATTCCCACAAATCCCAATAGCCTTCAAATTCCTGTTTGTCAAGAATCTACCTCGGTTTTAAAACTATTCAATAACCTTGCCTCCATCACCCTCTAGGAAAGAAAGTGTGTTCCGAAGACTTTAAAACCCTCAGATAAAATTCTCCTCATTTTTATCTTAAACAGGAGACCCCTATTTTCAAATGGTACCCCAGTTCTAGTGGCCCAGAAGGAAGAACATCATTTATGCATTCACCCTGTTAAGTCCCCTCACGACTTTAGGTGAGTCATTAAAATTTCCTTTCATTCTTCTAAACTCCAATGGATAGCTTGTCCAAATGTTTCTCATTAAATAACCTCTTATCCCAGATAACAGTCAAGTGAATCTTTTCTGAACTGAATCTTATCCAAATAAATCCTTTCCAAAATAAAGAGACCAGTATTCCGGATGTGATCTCACCAATGCTCTGTACAACTACCATAAAACATCCTATTTCAAATTCCATTTCCCTTCCAACATAAAATATTAATTTGTGTTCTTAATCACTTGCTGTACCTCCATACCATCTTTTTGTCATTCCTGTACCAGGACACTTATATCCCTCCATATCTTAGAGTTCGTCAAGTTCTTTTCATTCAAATAATATGCTGCCTTCTCTATTATTCATGTAATTGTGCACAAGTCCACATTTAACAACATCATACACCATCTGCCAAATATTTGCACACTCACTAATCCTGTCTAAGTCACTCTCCAGGCTCCATGTGTCCTATTTACAACTATAACCTTAAAAGTAGATTCCAGCAGTTTTCCGAAAACAGATGTTAAGTTAACTGGCCTGTTTCTTTTCATGCTTTCAGTCTCCCTCCTTTCCCTTTCTGGAACAAAGGAGTCACATTGGCCTGTTACCAATCTGATGGGCTCTTTCCAGAATTTTGAAAAATTAAAACCAATGCATTTACCACCTCAGAAGCAACTTGTCTGAAGTCAAAGGTGGAGTCCCTAGTTTCCCATGGACTTGGTTGGTTAGGTCTTCACTCCCTTTCACATCCTGATTCATATTTACATAAAACATTACAGCACAGGAGCAGGCCCTTTGGCCCACCATGTCTGTACCAACCATGATGCCATTCTAAAACCTAATCCCATCTGTCTGCACATGGTCCATATCCTTCTATTTCCTGCTTGTTCATCTGTCTGTCAAAATGCCTCTTAGATATTGCTCATGTCTGCTTCTACCACCTCCCCTGGCAGCACATCAAAGGCACCTCCCACATTTTGTTAAAAAAAACTTGCTTTGCACATCTCCTTTGAACTTTTCCCCTTTTTCCTTAAACCTATGCTCGTGAGTAGTTGACATTTTCACCCTGGGAAAAAAGACTCTGACTGTCTATATCTCTCAATTTACTTCTGAGTGATCACCTGTCAGTCTCCAACACTCTAGCGAAAACAATAAAGGTTTGTCCAATCCAGGCAACTTCCTGGTAAACGTCTTTTGCACTCAATCCAAAGCCTTCACATCCTTCTTAAACTGTGACAACCAGAACTACAGGCAATAGCCCAAATGTAGCCTAATTAGTCTTATACAGCTGCAATAAAAGTCTTGCTAACTTTTATACTCAATGCCCTGACCAGAAAAGGCAAGCACGCCATATGTCATCTTTACCATTTTAACCACTTGTGTTGAAACTTAGAGTGCTTTGGACATGGCCCCTGAAATCCTTCTTAACATTAATCTCGAGAGTCCTGCCATTTACGCTATACTTTCCTCTTGTATTTGACCTCCCAAAATGCATCACCTTGTCTGGATTACACTCCATCAGCCATTTCTTCCTCAACTTTCCAACTGATCTATATACTGTTATATCTTTTTATAACCTTCCTCACATTCCACAACTCCAGCAATTTTTGAGCTGTTTGCAAACTTGCTAATCAGACCACCTACATTTTCATCTAAATCATTTATATATATATTACAAACAAGACGTCCCAGCACTGATCCTTGAGCAACACCACTGGTCACAGACCTCCAGTCAAAAAAAACCACCACTCCACAATTACCCTCTCTCTTCTATGACCAAACTAATATTTTATCCAACTTGCCAACTCATCATGGATGCCATTGCAATTTAATCTTCTGATTAGCCTACCGTTAGGGATCTTGTTAAATGGTTTAGTAAAGTCCAAATAAACAACATCCACTGCCTTGGCCTCATCAATCACCTTTGTCACTTCCTCAAAAAACTCAATTGTTTATTTCAGGAATGTTATTTGTATTGTCTACAGTGAAGACAGATATAAAATATCTATTCAATTTAGCTTCCATTTCTGTATTTTCCATTATTAATTGCCCAGATCCTCTGTACAGGACCAACACTCAGGTTATCTACTCTTACTCTTTTCCCTCTTAAATACCTCTTACTATCTGTGTTTTTATATTTTAGTTAGATTTCTCTTGCACTCTAATTTCTCACACCTTATTAATCTTTTAATCATTCTTAGATATTGTTTATACTCTGTCCAAACTTCTGAGCTGCCACTCATCTTTGCAGAATTATATACTTTTTATTTCAATTTGATAGTTTCAACTTCCTTTATCAGCCACTGTAATGGACCCTTCCCTTAGTCTTTCTTACACAGTGGAATGTGTCATTTCTGTGTATTCTGAAATCTCTCCATAAATATCTGCCACTGCATCTCCATTGCCATACCCTTAATCTAATTTCCCAGTTCATTTTTGCCAGCTCTATCTTCATGTTCTCATAGTTTTAAGCTTAAAACATCAGTCTCAGATCTATTAGTTCCTCCCTCAAACTGAATGTGAAATTCAATCATACCATGATCATTACTACATAGGGGCATATGTATTTTGTCATTCATTACATCCTGCCTCTTTGCTCATTACTGGATCCAGTATAGCCTACCCTCACATTGCCTGTAAAGAGTTCTGCTCAAAGTAAAATTTCATGACCACATTATCCAGGTGACCTTTGCTAATTTATTTAATCTAACCACATGTAAATTAAAATTTGCAATGATTTTCTCTGTACCTTTCTCACAGGCCCTGTATTCCTTCCTGTACACCTGTCCTAGAGTGAGATTGCCTGTTAACCACACTGACAAGTGATTTCTTACCTCTACTCAAGCTGATGGTATACCTCGATCTGTAACACTAAAAATGTCATCTCTCTTTATTGTCATACTATGTAACAGAGCTACACCTCCACTTTTACCTTGTTTGCTGTTCTTCCAAAATGGAACATTCCCTTGAATATTCAGATTCCAGTCGCTTTCATCTTGCAGCCATGTCTCTCTAACGATCACCAGTTCGTACATACTTATTTTCACTTGTGCTGTCAATTCATTAGTATTATTACTAATGATATGAGTGTTCTGGCTTTTTCATTCTGACCTTTTACTACTTTTGTAACCTTCAGCCTTATATGTTGAAACTGTTTCCCTGTTTCTGCAGCAAAGGTCATCAACCTGAAACATTAATTGTTTCACTCTCCATAGATGTTGCATGTCCTGATAAGTATTTCCAGAATTTTCTGCTTTTATTTAAACTATAACTATATAGATGCACTAAAATTCTGGAACCACGTGACTAACTGGACTAGAAACAAGGCTCATTAATCTTGATGCAACAAGAAAATGAAGTGAAATTTTAAGAGTTTCACTAACTTGCTGAGAATATTGTCCAGGGTGTCTGTTCCTCTAGCTAAAGGTTCTTCTTGTCCAGCAACTTTGGAACCAATTGGATTCTGTCGATCACTATTTAATATTACAGTGGTTTGTGGTACTGTACTGCAAAAAAGTCAAATAAAAATTAAGATACTTCAACAGAATAATCCAAAAAAACAAAATCAGGGAAGAAAACATTATATTTGACAAGTAAATACAGAATATGTATTTAACAAAATATATACCCAGATCATGTTTTGAGAAAGATGATTGCTCATGAAAAAATAACAGCATCCTTCTGAATATTATTTTGCCGATTTCACTCATCTGTAAACCTCTGCAACAATAAGATGCAAATATCTATTCCACCAGCCAGAACTTTAAACCAGCAGTACAAGTTTTAGAGTTATTTTAGATAATAACCTTGAAATTTTCACAGTTTACCCAGATACTGACGAAGAATATACACTTAATCATGAATTCATTTGAGAATCATAATCAGATTATGAGCATTCTTTAAGTTACTGTGACCACACAAACAAAAATGTAATAATATTATAGGCAGCTGCATTACAAAAAATTCATACAATTAATACATCAACCCACAATGGTCAGGAATGTTCTGGAGGGGGGTGTTAAAACGTGAAATAATTGCAAAATCCAACCAGAACCTACCACAAACAGAGTCTACTTCCAGTTTTACCACTGTAGATTTGGAGTCAGCAGGGTAACTTGCTCTGAGAGGCAGATTGGTACTTATAATATTTAAATAAGTTTCAATACTTCGAGAACTGGAAGTAATTTGAATCTGTCAGCTGTGAACCAGCTTGCCCAGGCATCAATAAACCCAGCAGTTAAGGGAAGCAGAGGTTTGCTCGATCCAGCAGATGTTCATTGCCAAGGGTTTTTGAAGCCCAAGAGAAACAGGAGTGCCTTCCCAAACGCTTCAGCAATCTGCTGTGACCTTTCCTGGCCATAAAATTGGCTCAATTCCAAAAATAACTTACTATGATTTCTTAGAACTTCTTCAACTAGATTTATGAACATAAAAATTAGGGACAGAAATAGTGTACTTGGCCCTTCAAGCCCGTTCCGCCATTCAGCAACATCACAGCTTATCTGCTTGTGTTTACAATTCCATGTTCCCATCTATTTCCAATTACCTTTGGTTCCTTTACCAAATAATTTAATCCTCCATTTTAAAAATAGTTTATGACCCCTGTTTCCAAAGCCTTCTGAGGCAGAGAGTTTCAAAGTCACATAACCATAAAGAAAGAGTTCCTGAAATCTCAGTCCTCAAAAGGTAGGCCCCAAATTGTAAAAATTGCTCCTAGTTTCTAAATTCAACCATGAGGTAAACATCCTTTCCAAATCCACTTCCTCTGCAGCAACCAGATCTAATAAACTTCAATCAAATCATCCCTTGCACTTGAGCTCTGGTGAAAATAAGTTCAGTCTGTTCAATCTTTCTTCATAAGAATACTAGTTTATTCTAGGTATCAATCCAGTAAACTTTCTCTTAACTATCTCCAACACGTTTATATGCTTACTTAAATGAGATGACCAAAACTGCACACAGTTTTCAAGATGTGATCTCACTAATGCCTGAAGCATAATAACCTCATTCGTATGTTCAATTCCTCTCGTAATAAAAAGGCTAGTATCCCATTATTCTAACAGCATTAAATGACAACGTGTGTATCGTTTTCAAACATCTATTTAATCACATACGACTTGTGGTTAAACGACCCTGCAACTTTCCCAGTGCCTGAAGAAAATGATACCAAAAGCCTCGGTCTTTGAGCTCCCCTTCTGCAAACTCAGGCAAGATATATCCTGGTCTGTAAACACTACAAAACATTATGCAAGTTATTATTATCTCTCCATAGCATTTTGATTAAATAAAGAACAAATATTTTGACAATACCAGAGATATAATGCCCATTTCTCTCCCCCCACCTCACAAGATGAACATTCACTATTTGGTTAAATCTTAAAACAATAGAATTTTTAATAATTTGCAAAATTTTGCCTGAAATTCAAAGAGAAGATTCAGTTATTGAATAGATGCACTCTATCAGAAGTATGAAAGCTAAATCATCAGAAATGGATGTTAAACCAGAATGAGCTGGTTTTAGGGTGGTTTGACATTACAAGAGGTCAGCCAACAACAGGTTACCGTTTTCCAGGCTTTGATAAAATTATAGCATCTAAACAGGTTCACATGTATGAAACTAACAAGCAGCATGATGACATGAAGGCACATGTTGGTGGATGGGCATTTGAATTAAGAGTTTCCATTTCAGCCAATGAAACATGCAAACCATGCCTGTGCATGGTATAGGAGCATCTGTTGAGAGACCTCGAGTATTAATATCTCAAGTTGAATAATGATGTTGCAGTTCTAAAAAGAGAATTATTCCACTCAAAACATCAACTCTCTCTCTCCCCCCACAATTTGCTTTTATATCAGATTTCCAGCATCTGTAATTACTTGGCTTATATTAATCTGTTCTTTAGTACTATACTGATTTCTTTTTAAAAGTGGGGTCCCACTATCATATCTGGTTTCCATGTTGCCCCATAAAATATTTTAATCAGAAATGTTGATGTTTTAATATAAACGTGTTACATATAGTGGATGTGTACTGAAGTTTTAGATGATGAGCTTCTCACCTTTGACCATTTCATGTTATATTCCATAAATTAACTAAGTAAAAAGTAATCCTTCTGAACCAATTTACTGCTAAGTGCAGTTTTAAAACAGTGATGCAACATATGCAATTTACATGCATTTTAATATTATTTACTTTGGGTTTTGGATTTTGAACTCGTGGCTTGCTGGTTTGGTTTGCATCTATGAAAGGATTAATGATCAACACGAATTATTTCTGTAGCCATACTAAGTTCTTTTAAGAAAATAAACACTTTTTAAACATAAAGATATTACACTTTAGGTTGGTCTGCAAGATATCTGTTTTGCGTAGAAACTCTTATCCAACAGTCTCCTAATTAAGTTGCAAAGAAATCCAAAACAAAAACAGAAATTGCTGGAGAACATCTACACATCTGGCAGCAGAGAAAGCAGAGTATGGACCTGAAATCTTTACACTATCCAAAAGGTATTCTTGCAGCTGTGGATTTAGAATTTTAAAAAAAAGGACAGCATAAATTCAGACTGTGTCAATTTAATTAGTATACTCATTTGCACAGTTGGTAGTTACAGGTACAGAAATTATGCTTATCACACTAAATGATAAGCTTATGACAACGAGATTACATGTGTTATACTGGTAAGATCAGAAAAAGACATAAAAAAATCACTTGAAGCTATTGCACATATTTACCTTCATGTGTAGATAAAAAAAAGCCTACCTTTCAGACTCATGAAAGCTGATTGTTACTATTTGAACTTCACTCTATACAACATTCAGCTGCTCCAAACCAATAATTTTCGTTTTTGTGGCACAAAACATGCAGCTCACCTGCGAACTTTATTCCACGTCTGTGTTGCACCTAGAGGAGATCCTGCCACCATAGGGACCTGGATAGGACTATTTTGTTTATTAAAAACCAAGTCTATTTTCTCTTCAATTGCTTTGCAAGTGGCTTCCACAGCCTGAATTTTGGCTTCAATACTATCAAGACGCAAACAAATGGCTTGATTAATGTCAAAGAGAATAGACTGTAAAAAGAAAAGAGAAAAAAACGATTACATTTGGCAGTAAAGTGATGGAAAAAGATTATGATTTAATGACTTTCACTCGTTGAATGAATAAACATTTCATATGTGTCCTTTATTGAACATATAAACAATTCAACTTTGGATCCTTGTCAAATCTTCAAATTCGTAAGTGCATTTGGATCTTATCTGTTCAATGACAATGAGTACAGTGAATCAGCTTCTTTGTTTACATGAACAAACCTCTTGTACACTTTTATTCTAAGTTTAAATTGTAATAATTGCTTTCACTTGAATATTGAATGCTAGACACCAATAATAGACTCTAAAAGGAATATTTGAAAAGTTGGAAAACAAAGTGATAGCAAGAACAGAAATTAAATGGCATATAGCAAGGAGAAAATATGTATAAATATTTGATGACAAATTCACAAAATTACTTGTAATATTTTCATACAATTTACATCAGTACTATTAACAATTAAGCTTCTTGAAAAGTGAAAAAGTATACACCTAAGACCATAAGACATAGGGAGCAGAAGTAGGACATTTGGCCAGCTCCACAGTTCAATGATGTCATGGCTCATCTGACAATCCTTCTCTGGACTACCTTCAATGCCAGTATATCTTTCCTTAGAAAGAAAGGAGTCTAAAACTGTTCACAATATTCTAGCTGTGGTCTGACTAGTGCCTGTTATACCTCATTCCCTTTGAAATAAAGGCCAACGTTCCATTTGGCTTTCCTATTACAGGCCGAACTTGGATGCTAACCTTCTGTGATTAGTGGACGAGAACTTGCAAATCCCTCGGTTCTGTACCTTTGCACATTCATTCTCAATTTAAATAATATTAACTCCTCTATTCTTCCTAACAAAGTGCAAAACTTTACATTTTCCCTTATTACATTCCATCTGTCAAGTTTTTGCCGACATCACTTAATTTGTCTCTATCCATGTGCTGACTCTTGAAACATCCTCACCACTTGCTTTCCCAAATATTTGTGTCATCCACAAACTTGGCAATAGTATATTCATTTTCATCATTCAATTCATTAATATATATTGCAAATAATTCTGGCTCCAGCATTGATCCCTGTGACATGCCACTAGTTACAGTATGCCATCCCTATGCCAACGCACTCTATTAGTTCACCAATCCACTATCCAAATGTTATTCTATAGGATTAAAGCATTAGTAAAATCTGTACAAATGGTTCACCATTCAAATGTCATATAACTCTAAATATCACAAACAGAAACATGTGCGCATTGGAGATTTTTTTTCCCCAACATGGAGACTGCACAACCATGAGGTTTCAAAATGCACTATTTCAAAATACATTGCATCAGATGTTTCACTTGAATCACTGAAGTTTAGAATTACTTCCCTTGAAACATTTTGGATGATGATGCATTTTGAGAGAAAATAAACACAGCTTTTTTTATATGAGGCACACTTACAAGTTTTGCTCTCCACTACATATGTAGCAAAGTCACCATCTAGTGGTTTAAATTAAATATGGCACCAGGATTTAAATCAACGCAACCATAGCCCATGATATTGGATAAGTATTTGTTGGCAAAGTAATATGCAGTCCTTGGTGCTTGCCAGTTTTAGAACTCAAAATACCCAGTTATTGTGGCAAAGAGATAATGTAAGTGATGCAAACGTTCAGAAATTACTGGGCACCACAACCATCAGCTTTGCAAAACTAGAACCTTGCTATGAACCTTCACCAGAGTTTCATAACATTACAAATTTATGCAGTAAACTTACCATACGAAATGATAATGAGTTTTTAACAACCCGCAAGATTTATGTTCCGACAATGTTGTTCATTAATGCAGATCCAGGGAGATGATGGCCTAGTGATATTATTGCTTGAACATTAACCCAGGGATCCTGGGTAATGATCTACAGACCTGGATTTGAATCCTGCACTGACAGATGATCAAATTTGAATTCGGTGTCTAATGATGCCCATGAAACCATTGTCGATTGTCAGGAAAAACCTATCTGGTTCACTAATGTCCTTTAGAGAAGGAAACTGCCATCCTTAACTGGTCTGGCTACAAGTGCCCCTTGGGCAATTATGAATGGGTAATAAACCCCGGAAATGTACTAACCCCAGAAATGGATAATAATGCCCATATCCCATGAATGAACAACTAAGAAAAAAAATCCAGAAACAAAACAAACAAATTTGTGGAGCTTCAAGGAAATAATAAAATGCTCCCAGAAAATGTTTACATTGTTTCTTACTTCTCTTATAGCTTTTTTTCTCCCTGGATTTATCAACTTAGTCTTTCCATCTTTTTGCTTTTCTTCCTTTATACAACTTAACTCCTTTCACCTTATTTCCTTTTGGTTAAGGAAATATACTGGTGGTCCTACACCTGTCATTCACCAAAGTCTCAGTTGTCTAATCATCAATTCACCATTCCAGGAATTCACACAGAAAAGTTTGAGTTGAAGAGTGAGGAAATAAACATGGAATGAGGAGTTTAATATGACAAGCTTTGAATGCCCCAATCTAGTAAATTCTACCTCAATGAAACATTCCAAAAGCAATGGAGTTAATGGATGTCCTTAGCCATGGCTCAGTGGTAGTACTCCCACCCGAACCAAAATGCTTTTGGGGCACAGATCGCACTTCAAAGATTTGACCACACAACCGAGTGGGTGCTTTGCTGCTCAAAGTAGCTAATGGTTACCTTCTGAATTCCTAACATTTACCATTCTGCACTGGAGAGAATCCAGACGTGTGCCAATAGGTTGAAGCACATAAACAGTATCAAAGCTTTAGTACACACAGGTGAGGGGCTTGTTCTTGTACATTGATTGTACTCAGGTTGCAGCTGTCGGTTGTGGGGTTACAAAGTCTTTGTCAACATGACAGCAGAGTGGCAGAAGAAATGCACACGCAGGCTGGAGCATAAAAAGATGAAAGATGAAGCAGAGGTCCAAGTAACAACTGCTGAAGATGCAGTTTTACTCAGGCTTTGTTGAATTTTACATGGCAAATGGATTCTGATGTTTTTTCTATTTTTTTTGGAGATGTCTCAGATGCTGATCATGAGAAGATCTTGTACATTGACTTTATGGATAGTAGTTTGGAATAAAATATGAAAATGCAAAAAAGAAAAAAAGACGACTTAAGGGCTCTTGTGGCACAGTGGTAGTGACCCAAACTCTGAGCCAGGAGGTTCGGGCTCAAGTGCCATCTGCAATCAAGGTGTGTGATAACATCTCTGAATAAGCCAATTAGAAGGAAAGAAAAGAAAATATAAAAAGACTTAACTGCTATTGTGGTACAGGGGTAATATCCACATCTTTGAGACCTTCTCCAGAGATGTGCAAGAACTTAATCGAACAGCTTGATTAGAAAATATAAAATTACTTAGTGTTCTTATGATGTATTGGTAGTGTCCCTACCTCTAAGTCAGGAAGTTGGGTTCATGTTCACTTGCCCCAAAGGTGTGTAACAACATCTCTGAACAGGTTGTTTAGAAAATATTATAAATACGACTTCTAGGACAGTTGGTTAAGGAAGAAGATGACATCACTTGTACTGTTACAGTCTTTAACTAAATCTAATATTCGGATCACATTTCCAACTTTGCTAACTTAGAGAAGTTAAGCAACTGCCCAAAATGGCTTTGACAATGATCTGGAAACAGCATTAACCCTATTTTTTTGACATAGTTATTATGTGGTCTGTCAGAGAAATTAACATAATTCAAACTAAAGCTACATTGTTCCTTTTCAATAGAATTTAATATTTTCATGGAATTAGCAGAATGCAGACTTATGTCTGTGATTCCCAAAGCACAGTTCTGTATTTCATCTGTGTCATCAACTTGTTAGGTTGTATAGGTTGAATATTTCCCTTTGAGAAGCAAAGGAAAATGGTAAGACACCACCAGAGATCACACTGCATAGCTCAAAACAACAGAGCCTTTCTTCAAGAATGACATGAAAGCCAAAGAGTTTGGTGACTAAGGTATTTGACTTTTTCACTCTAAATCAGCTTTTAACTTTTTGCAGACTTGAGTGCAGAGATAAGTTATGCTCAAAAGATTAAAGTGCAAAACTGCCAAAATGCAATACTTTATCAACTTATTTTGTAATACATTTGAAAAGTATCAAGCAATGACATTGATACATTACCTTGTAAAATCTTCATCTGACAAATATATACACGCCTCCAAAATTACCTTTACTGTAGAATCTTGGATTGACTGCCCGTTTGAAATGTCTACTCGTTGACGTTTAACAGCTGGTTGTTCAATCCCATCCTCAGACTGATGATTCTCCAAAACTCCTGAAATAGATGTTAATTATTTTAGATTTGTATAAAAGGCTCATCAGATTTTCTAGACACACAGAACCAATGAGCAGGAATAGGTCATTGAGCCCTTCAAGCCTGCTCCACCATTCAAGATGATCAGTGCTGATCTCTTATCTCAACGCCATATTCCCGCTTTCTCTCCATATCTCTTGATGTCTTTAATATCTAAAAATGTATCAATCTCTTCTTGAATATACACAATGACCCAACCTCCACAGCATTCCATCGTAGCGAATTCCACAGGTTGACTGCCGTCAGTGAAATGTTTCCTCAAGTCAGTCCTAATATGCCCAGCCCATATTCTGAGAATCTGACCTCTGGTTTTAGATTGCCCAACCAGGAAACCATCCTCCCTGCATCTAGTCGGTCTAGCTCTGTTGTAATGCTGTACAGTCATTCCTCCATATCTGCGAGAGTCCCGATCCCAAAAACCTCTACAAATGATGAAATTTGCAAGTGCTGAGCTTATTAAAAATAGGTTAAAATTGTTAGAAAATATTGCAGGTAGGTGATTTTTGTTGCTTTTTTGGCACAAACAGATGAATTCACAATTCATGATTTCGCGGATACAGAGGATTTACTGTATGTTTCAATCAGATCTCCGCTCATTTTTCTAAACCTGAGTGAATACAGAACCCCTCAAACCAATCTCTCATACAAGAATCCTGTTATCCTCAGTACCAACCTTGTGAAGCTTCACTGCACTCCTTGTATGCGATATATATCTCTTCTGAGGTAAGGAGATCAAAACTGTCCACAATACTCCAGTTGCAGTCTCACCTTATACTTCAACGACCACTGGGGAGCTCTAAGCATGGTCTAACGACTGTGCTCCCTTTCTAACAGGCCCTACTATCACAATCCCATCAGCATTGTTCATTTAGTACTTAATGAAACAATAAGCTGATACAAAAACAGAAATTGCTGGAATAGCTCAGCAGGTCCGGCAGCATCCTGTGGAGATAAATCAGTGTTAATATTTCGGGTCAAGTGACCCTTCCTCAGCACTTCCAGTTCTGCCACACTTGCTGAGCATTTCCAGCAATTTCTATTCTTGTTTCTGATTTACAGCATCTGCAGTTCTTTTGGTTTTTATGATAAGCTGATAACTTTTTATTCAATATTTGTAGTCTGGAAACTGATAGCAAGTAAAACTCCTAAAACCGTCCATTTTACAAAGCAAGTTCTGAACGCTCTGTCCTCAAAATAAGACTCCTACCAGAAAGTCAACATTTTAGTAATACAAATATGATCATTATTGTTCTTCGCAATTGGAAAAATGTATTTGCAGGTGCCAATGACTTTCATATGTTTGCTATTGGTTTTTCTTCAATTCTAAGAAAACTATGCGATACAACTTATGAAAGGTGTGTAATTTCCATATATATAAATAACTGATACTCCAGTATAAGTTTGGATTTTGAACTAGCGACATTTGGGTGTTTGCTTGTGTGTAGGAGGAATTTTAATGCTTAACTTGTCAATATTTCTGGAACCATGGATTTTTTTCAACCACTGAGTGAGTGCGCTCTCAGGTGATAATGTGAATTTGGTGTCAATGTGAGTATTTTACAATTGGATAAAGTAAACATTGAAAAGCATTAACTCACTTCTGATTTAGAAGAATGAGGTTTTCCTTTCTTTGCTTATTCCTGATTAAAGTTGAACATATGAAACAGGTTCTACTAGGCACAAGGGATATATCAGAAGGGGCAGGAAATAAATTACCTCAGTATAACAGTTTAGCTCCAGACCAGAATTGTTTGGTTAGAATCCTGAAGGGATTGTTTGAAGCTGATAAAGTCTAAGCTAAGTCATGAATACTCAAGGATGAAGCTATCAAACTCTCAAGACCAGGAATGAAAATAAACAGTTAAGTCAAATCTATAGATGGGATAGACAAGGGAATTCTCTCTGGTGTTTGAGCACTTTCAAGTGATGCTGTTAGGATAGATGGGGGCTTTATGTTTACTGTGCATTTTGAAAAATTTCATATTGTCTTATATGTAATTAGCTTGGTCTATTTTATTTTATCTTCATTTCTTGTCTGAAATAAATCTCTTTTATTGTTAAAACCAAATTTGCAGCATTGCATGCTTGTGCTTCAGTGAGCAGTTGTGGGCCACATATCTAAGGATGAACGTGCCAGCACAGGAAAGGGTCCAGAAGAGGTTCACAAGAATGATCCCAGGGATGAAGGGTTTGTCTATGAGGAGTGATTGATGACTCGGTCTGTATGCAATTGAGTTTAGAAGGATGAGGGAGGATCTCATTGAAACTTAGAGAATTCTCAAAGGCCTGGATAAAGTGGACATGAAGATGATGTTTCCACTGGTCGGAGAAACTAGGACCAAAGGGCACAGCTTCAGTGAAGGGCAACCCTTTAAAGGCGAGATGAGGAAGAATTTCTTCAGCCAGAGGGTGGTTAATCTGTGGAACTCGTTACTGCAAAGGGCTAAAAGAGGCCAAGTCACAGTGTTTTTAAGGCAGAGATTGATACATTCTTGATTGGTAAGGGGATAAAAGGTCATGGGGAGAAGGCAGGAGAATGGGGCTGAGAAACATATCACCCACAATCAAATGGCAGAGCAGAATCAACGGGCCAGATGTCCTAATTCTGCCCCTATGCCTTATGAAAGGCCCCCTTGTTAAATTTAAAAAAAAACAAACAATTTATTACCCATCAGTCCAAATTGCAGTCTGGGTTCTGACTTGTCCAGTAACAAAATCAGCTAGGATTACAACACAAAGACCATCAATCCATGTGACATCAACTACAAACAATGATATGTTTTGACAGAATCTCTGACTAAAAAGTGTAGCTAAGATGCATTTTCTTTGTTTTATACATACTTGTCTAATCCTTTGATATGTATATTAAAAACCAACTTTAAAATTGTGCTATGATCGAAAAATTCAGAATAAAAATTCCAAATTTACATCTTAAAGGAAAGACTGGGATTCAGTCTAATTTCAGGTGGAGGTATTTCCAACCTGTCGTCTTCTACTCATACTTGCTGGCTAACCACAAAGAGGTCTGTCCTTGAAAATGTTTATCTTACAATTAGTTGAACAAATGTTCTCACGTTTATGGAACTGCTATGTCCCAACTGATAATCATTATAGGTACTAATATTCCAATCCACCTGTTAATAAGGAAGCAGGGGTTATATCCCCAATGTGTGCACAACTTTTATGATTGCTCTCCATCTTATAGGATTCCAAGTTGGGAATTGCTTTTTTTCCAAACTGAAGAAAATTTGAGCAGACATCACATCAAGAATTTTTGCATAGAATATACCTTCTTACTTTTCATTGAGCTTTTCATGGCATAAGCATCACTTAAGAATTCAAACAGTGCACTTTTTCAATCTTACAGTGCACTGTCTTTTTATCAAACCTGATTTTTGCAGAAGTGCAATAGCTTAGAAGACAATTAGCTAACCTCTTTGCATCATAAGATGTAGAGGCAGAGTTAGGCCATTCAGCCCATCAAAGTCTGATCTGCATTCCATCATGGCTGATATGCTTTTCACACCCATTTTCCTGCCTTCTCCCCATAACCCTTCAACCCGTTACCAATTAAAAAATCTGTCAACTCCTCCTTAAATTTACTCACTGTCCCAGCATTCATCGTACTTTGGGGTAGCGAATTCCACAGATTCACAATCCTTTGGGAGAAGTAGTTTCTCCTCAACCGTTTTAAATTTGCTACCCCTTATCCTAAGACTATGACCCCTCATCCTAGAATGCCACACAAGAGGACACATCTGCTCCACGTCTATTTTATCTATACCTTTTATCATCTTGAATACCTCAAGTTGATCTCCCCTCATTCTTCTAAATTCCAGAGTACAGACCTAAACTGTTCAATCTCCCCTCATATGATGGACCCCTCACCTCTGGGATCTAGTGAAACTCCTCTGAACTGCCTCCAATGCCAATACATTGTTCATCAAATAAAAGGGGACCAAAACTGTGTGTTTTGTTTAGTTGCAACTAAATTTTATTTCTTTAGCTGTAAAATCCAACGTTCCATTCGCTTTCTTTATTAGCTGCTGTACCTGCATGCTAGTTTTCAGTGACTCATGAACGAGGACACCGAAATCCTCTGCACCGGAGCACCCCGAAGTCTGTCCCCATTTAGATAATACGTCGCCTTCCCATTTTTCTGACCAAATGCACGACCTCACACTTATCCATGTTAAGCTCCATCTGCCACATTTTGGCCCATTCTCCTAACCAATTTGTAAGGTCCTTATTTCCTCATTGCAATTTACTGCCTGCTCATTTTTGTATTGTCTGCAAATATGGCCAGAGCACCTTCTGTCCCTGTATCCCAAGTCGTTAATATAAACTGTAAACAGCTGGGGTCCAAGGACTGAATGCTGTGGCACCCCACTAGTTACTTCTTGCCATCCAGAAAGAAAACTCATTTATCCTGACTCTTTCTTCTGCCTAACAGCCAGTTACCGATCCAAGCTAATAAATTACCCCTAATCCCATTTGATCCAACCTCATGAACTAACCTTTAATACGTCACCTTATCAAACGCCTTCCAGAAGTCCAGATATATTACATCTACAGGATCCCCATTATCCACTTTGCTTGTTACTTCTTCGAAGAACTCTCGCAAATTAATCAAACATGATTTGCCCTTCTGAAAACCATGCTGACTATGGCGGACAGCATTTCGACTTCCCAAATGTCCCGATATTGCTCCTTGAAAATCGATTTTAATACCCTAGGATGCAGGCCATCACGCCCAGGGGACTTCTCTGCTCTCAATCTTAACAGTTTGCGAGGTACCTTTACCCTACTGATGTTGATTGTTGTAAGTTCTACCCTTTCTATTGCCTCTGACTTGTCTGTTCTAATAGGAATGGTACTATTGTCCTCCGCCGGGAAAACTGAGACAAAGTAGTGATTTAGCTTCTCTGCCATTTCAGCGTTCCCCTCTATTAACTCTCCAG